AAACGCAGTGGTGTGAACTGGGCCCCATCCATGACGAGGCAATTTGCCTTGTCTTGCATTTGGGCTACGCTGGAAAAAACAGCCAGCACAGCCGAGCGCAGATGGGTGTGAATGACCCCTTAGTCAGCATTGGAAATAGCGTTTGGCTTTAATATCACTTTAATCTTAAAATGCAGCTGTTAGCAAGACTTTTTATTTTTTACTTTTTAGATGGAGTGGAGAGGGATTAGAACACCTGTCAAGTTTTTATTGCGGTCTATGTCCCTGTAAAGGTACAAAAACGTACGATCTGCCTATCTTGGACAGGCAGATCGCACTCTCGATCATCGCAAGCCCGCCCTCCTGAGGGGCGGGCTTCCGATGACCGCAATGCTGAACGGGCAGTGTGCGCGTGCGCACACCGGCCCGTTCAGCATTTATCTTCCGAGCACCGTTCTAACCAGCCGAGAAGCGTACGATTCCCGGCTGGTTTTCGAACATGCTGGTTCGACAGACGTGCGACCGTACAGTAGAAACGGTCGCACGTCTCCGTTCACACTGCTCGATTATCGTACGAAAACCCGATCGCATACGATTATCGTACGATAATCGTGCAGTGTATGGACACCTTTAGGGAGATCTTACCCTTCTATTCGTCTAGGTGAGTGCTATCTTTAAAAGTGAAATAACATCTTAAAAAGATGGGAAATCTTTTAATGGAGAGGCTAGTTCTGAGCGAACTGAGCTTTGGATCAAGGGAGGACGCTAGTTTATGGGGCCCTTACGAGAACTATAGGGAAAAACACTTACCCCATAGTTCTCTTTTGATGGCGTAGTTGGAAGGATGTTCCCCACTAGCTATTGTATTCAGACAAATGGAGCCCTCTGCTGTCAGAATACCAGAAGAGTGACTGCAGCCGATTGGCTGCAGTCACTGTACAGCCAACAATTTCCTGCCCATCTCCTTGATTTCTCAGTCAAATTTTGTTGAGCAGTTGGTGCTGGCAGGGCCACCCACAGTTAGAATTTTGCCTGATTCCTTTGAATTCTGTATGGCCAGTGTATGGACAGCGGTAGGCCAACACCTAGAACGGGTGTGATTGATTAGAAAACCTGTCGTAAACATTGTTGTTCCCCTGCTGATAAATCTCCACCAGCTCCCACTCCCCCAAGCTCAATTTAGATTACAAGTTAATAGAGTGCTCTGTTTAAATGATATGCCTTTGAGGGGAAGGGGGGAGGATCAGATTGTGTGAGAGATCGATTGCTGTATTGTATCCCCTTATCTGTGATTTCCATATGGATGGAACTGCTCTTTGTGTTACTAAGTTGGCTTGCACTGCATTACATTTGCTGAGGACTAACGCTGGCCAGAATTTGTCTATCCATGCTGCTGCATGGAGGAATCCATGATGTATTTTGTTTCGCTCAGCCTGCAGGTCGAAAGGGAAAACATATAACCGTGTATGGCCAGCTTTAGGGCAGTTGTATGGATGGAAGTGTGATGTCTTCAGTAATCCATCAACATTAAGTGTAATGGCAGGTTAACATTTTGGGACGCAGTTTTTACCAAAGCCTACATTTCTTTTCAATCTAATGATCAACTTTGTTGATCACATTGGCTGCGTGTGTACCGAGCTTTACCTGTTGTTGCAGTAATGTGATGGCTGCCACTAGCACATCCTGCCTTGGGGCATTCAATCTCAAGTGTAAACAAAGACACCGTTTGCTGTGTTTATGGTGTTTGGACAAGGAAGGATGTTGTCATGTTTCTGAAATGAATGCATGACATACACAAAAAGGAAGCTAACTGAATGTTTTGTATCTAGACCACCATGGAATTTCCTTACAAGTGAAGCAATTGTTGAACAGGAATGAGTTTAGCATATTACAGATGATGACAAAGAAAAGTTTTCATGGCTATTATTACAGCTTTGTCGTATTTCAGGATCAGGCATGAAATGTTTCCAGAACCCCCACCACTATGTGCCTAGCTTTCACCCCTGATGGGAGCACCACCACATTTTACTAAGGCCTTGTTTACACCAAATGCAGACCAGATCTGCATGAGTTTCTGCACACACAGTGCAGTGGGTTTTGATGCGTTCTGGGCCGTTTTTGGTAGGAAAATTTTTTTTGTTTATAATGGGTGTTTTTAGTGCAATCCAGAGCAGGTAAAAATAGGGCTTGTCAAGAATCCATAACAGTATGTATTTATAGCCATATAGTTTTGGATAGATTGGGCGAGGATAAGAGCCCTTTGTCAGCTTTTACTGCTGGTCAGGGCTCAGTTAGTTGGCTGCAAGCACTGATCTCCTGACAATATTCCAGCATTGTCACTTGAACAAAGAGCCACCTATGTGTGTGGCTTGTTTAAATGTTTAGGGCCTGGCCGTGCTTTCCAGCAGATTTGCTCAGATTACAAGATTAGCTGATTAGAATTAAAAATCCTTTGGCAGTGAAAAGGTGGATTTAAAAAGTCTACACACACCCCTGTAAAAATTCCAGGTTTTCATATTTTTTTCCCCCCAATATATATCAGTACAGCTAGCACTCGGCTTGTGCCGTTTCAAAATGGTGCCCTTTTGGGGTCGGTCACATGATTAAAATAACACCGTCACCACAGGGAAACGCTAGACAACTGCAAGTGGCTGAATACAACAGTATGTACAGTACTGTGCAGAGTCTCTGGCAGCAAGATCTGGGCACAGGTGGAGGATCACGGCTCAATGAAAAAACTGTGGACACCTCCACAGGCACGCAGAGGGACACTTGGAGATATGGTGGTGCACAGATGAAGATGCGCTGCTGGCACAGGGATACACATGGAGATTTACACAGCCGCACAGAGAAATGCTGAGAAGTGCAGAGATTGCACTGGACCAGAACGGAGGCACTGATGTGCCACGCGTTCTAATGCGGGGAATCACACTGCGGGCGTGGCTGCAGTGCCATTGACTTCAACACACCACCCCCTCCCGCCCCTGAATTCAGGAAGCAGGACGGAATGCGATACAGTGCTTTCCCAAGGCCAACCTCTCTGGAACGCACTGTTTTATGGTGTAAACTGGCCCTTAAATGTGTGCAAGAATTGCTGCTTGCATTTTCTACATTTCCACTAACCTTGTAGTCCTTATATGCTAGTGCTGTTATTTTAATTAGGAAATGAAATATATATTTATTTTGCTGTGTGGGTGCTAAGTTGGTTGTATCCGTGTGTACAGCCTCGTCCAGCAGCACATGACCGTCTTGCAGTCTTCCCTCCTGTTGCTAGCCTGTCTCCTTTCCCTTGTGGTGATGAACACTCTTTGTTTCCTAATTACAGAGAAGTCACAGATGTGTGAAAAGTAGGCCACAGGTCGAAGGCTGTGTGCCCCATACCCAGCAAAATTGGAAGTGACAGGCATCTCTTTGCTCCACTCCTAATTTGCCTCTGTGTTAAATAGCTACAGAGTCCCAATTAAAAAGAAAAGTTCTAGGGTTCTGATGAACAGACAGATTGAGTTATTTATGGTGGAAGCAGCCACCAACAGTAATTGAGGCACATCCTTGAACAAATACAAATTTTTCAATTCAGGAATAGCGCCAGGCTGACAGGGTCATGCAGGTCAAGCTCACCGAAACAAGAGGCCAATGAAAGCCAAAACTTGCTTTCCATTCATCTCAACACAAATCTCCTTTGTCCACATTAACTGTTGAGGTGTGTGAGTTGCACCAGCAGCTCTTTGAGGTCTAATTATGCTTTCTACATTAATCAGTGTAAAAAAATAAAATGGAATAATTAGACTCCAATACCACTACTGTCTCTTCCTTTTAGTGATTACCAGTCTGATTTTAACAGCAAATTGATCATATGGCAGGACTCGCATTCATAAAAAAATACCAATTGTGTAAGAAATGTTTCTGCCATAGAATGTGGATACGCACACACATGGCTAAAGCAGCTTTCCAGGCATTGGATGTGGTGGCTGCATAGATTTCCTGTTTAGTCTTCCTTTTCTTTTTTACCAGGTGATTCTGCCAATAACCTATTTTCTGTCCTCGGTTCTATGCAGGAGCAGTGTTGTTACCTGAAGCTGCTCACCCCTGATTTGGACTACAAACTTCATAATTCTACATCATAAAGGGGTGTTGCTTTGTAGTTCACAGTGAATAGCTGAGGAAGCTAATAACATTGTTTGACTGTTCATTTCAGTCCATGGCATGTTAAAAGGAAACAAGATTTTTAACAAGGCCAACAGATATTTGTCGGCGTTGACAATAAATGTACTTGGCCTGAAAAAAAGAAAATTAATGCAGCTATTGCATAGTTACATAGTATTTGAGGTTGTATAAAGACACATGTCCATCAAGTTCGTCTATTACATTTAAGGACCCGTGAACTGCAGCTTATTACATTTTTGTTCACGAGTTTAGATATACTTTAAAGGAGAACTATGAGGTGAGTGCTTTTTACTCACCTCCTAGTTCTAGCCGACCTGTGACAATGAGACTGTCACAGGCCGGCTCAGTAGATCGGGAAGTGAGGGAACACATACCGGCGTTCGCTCACCTCTCGATCCTGTCACAGCTCTCTGCCGTGACAGGGGAGGGGCTGGATTCCCCCCTCCACGCTCCGATCCTCCAGCGCTGACTGGCGGAACGGACGGGGGAGGGGGCTGGTACAGCTGGCTCTGCCTCTAGATAGGCAGAGCCAGCTGTCACTCACGCAGCTGGGCGGATCCAGACATAATTGTCGGGATCCGCTTCAGCTGCGGCGTCTCGCTATACCGCGAGCTGTAGCTTGCGGTATACTGAGCTTAGGGTGACGGGAGGACGCTAGTTTGTGTCCTCCAGTTACTCTAAGGAGAACTATGGGGAAAAGCCTTAACCCCATAGTTCTCCTTTTAACTGTGTTTGGATTTTCAACAAAGATCCATAAAAAGCTACTTTTATAATAAAACTGTGTCCGTTTGAATATAAGAATTCTGTTAAATATATTAAATGTGTTTTTTATTTTTATTTTTTACAGTAAAAGTTTTAACCAAAGAAGAAGATAATTGCCTTTTTATTTGTGAAAAGTATCTGCATATCTCCAAATACCATCCTCCCTGCTCCTGGAAAAATGCTGCCATTAAAAAAGAGGACAGTGATGAAGCATGTGGTTGCGGCTGTGTTGGGCTGCATCCTTCTTGGAGTTCATACTCAAGGTTGGTGACAAGCTATTTCATATTACTTGGATATCTAATCTTTACTGTCTGGAGACTGATCACTAGTGTTACTTTTGTTCTATTATGGATCTGGGCCATCTCTTTATAGCAAAGGACAGTTTGTTAGATGTTAAATGTAAAATACATCAACTTGTTTCTACACAAACCTTATTTCTATGTACATCTTGTTCTTTGCAGTACTACACAGTGGTCGTGCCTTACTGCTCTTTCTCACGATGAAAATCTGTCATTAGGCCAGCACAATGGAAACAGTGTGCTGAATGGCTGACATTTTGTCTTAACCATTGTAGGCAATGGCAGGCAGACTCAATTGAGGGTCTATTATAGCCTGCAGTAGTGGCTACTCTACAACACTACAAATTAGGAAGAACATGAATGCAAACATGTAATAGTTGCATCAAAAATGACTTTAAACACTGCCCTGGATCAAAATAGAAATACACTAAGCTTTCTTTTTAAGAATGGTCTCACTTTTTGACTGATTTCTCTGTAGACAGGCATGAACATTGAGTATACAGCTTTTTTACATGTATCTATTTAGGTAACACGTTACTGCTTTATGAGTTCAGGAAGAAGCAATGACAAATGGGCCAAAAATATCACATGTCCATGCAGGGTTCCAGCGGTTCTGTGGAGATCTGTTGAAGCCTTTTTTTTTTACTTCATACACTCTTTGGGATCCCTTTGTAAAGCATCAGTATGGCCTTACCCCATCCCATCTATACCACTGCCTGAAAAAGAACAAAAAGCCTGGCACATTTATATAGCATAGCAATGAGTTTAAAAAATATGTAAATAAGCAGTATGCTGCACATGTGTAAAGCAAGCAGAGTCCAATTCAAATTAATAAATGGAGGGGAAACGAGCAGAGAGGAAGAGAGCATGGTCACATGACCCCACCAAGTGCAGTTGTATGCAGTGTACATTTGGGACACATTGCAGCCCGAATTTAAAAAATGAGTTTTAAAATATAGGCACACTGTGGAGTAAACAGTGCGGTGTCCAGGGTTAGCGGTATTCACCGAACATTAAAAATGGAGGCCTCAGAGCTTTGTATGCTGCTCCAAAACTATTTATATATAGTATGACAGTTTGGTTCAGTGTACAGGTACCCTTAGTAGTGATTTAGACATTTGCTAGGCGATGGAGATTCTTAGCAACAGGAACTCTGCATGTCTTTTTGGCTTCTCCAAACAATTATTAAAAGTGTGTAGCAAATGTACATCCTGGGCTCATTTCAACTGGGTAATAGGCACAGTGTAACTCCTGTGTGCGCAGTGAGCGGGGTTGAGTGATGTGTCTGTAATTCTATTGGTCATGCTGGAGCATCAGTATGAAGAAACCAGCAGGGGGATGTAACCATTGCCTTGGGCCGTGACAGTCCGTTATCGTTTAAAGAAACCCTGTTACCAGACTATTTCAAGTAAAATATTCCAATTACATTATATCTGCATTAAATGTATATTAGGCATGTTTACCTGTGAACACATCCAAAAGCCTTGAGACTGCGGCTGGGAGCCACCATCGTGATTGTGATGTGAGAAGTCCCAACAGACTCAAGTGACATTTTATATAGTATTCACCTTCACTCCTAGGGAGGTGAAGGTAGGGACATGGGACCACCACATACAGTAATTAGACACTCCCAAAAGAGGAGTGGGCTATGATGTTTATGGATGGGAGGAAACTGTGCAAAGTGATTGACTAGTCGGGTTCAAAGGCACATTGGCAAGTTTAAACGTTTTATGCGAATGAAAAAACACTGCAAGTGCGCATTCCAGTGCCTTTTACAGGGTCTCTTTAAGCCTTAGATGTGTCCTCATTACAGAAGTTGCATGTTCTTTCTTATTACATGCATCTGTATCTCTACAAGACTCTCAAACTGGAACTATACAACCAGAATTTAGTACTGCAGGTGATGTTCATGCAAAGTTTTACATTGGCACAATAATAAGTCTACACAACATATGAAACATTCATAAAAAGTAGTGCCTGATCCTTGCAGTTTTATCATTTTAAAAGCTTGCTGTATGGTTGTAGAACACCAAATCCACACGATGAATCAAGTCCCACTTTTTTCATTTTGTTTAATTGTTCTTCATGACAGTTCACTGCATCAGTCAATTACATTGTAAGTGAATTTGTAACCATAAATCATTTATACAATTGGCTGAAACATATTAACACAAGTTGGCATAACTTGTAAATTCTGGATCATTCAGATCCAGAGAAGTACGCTTAAAGGAGAACTAGGAGGTGCGTGATTTTCACTCATCCTCATAGTTCGAGCCGATGTGTGACAATGAAACTGTCACACGTCGGCTCAATAGATCAGGAAGTGAGTGAATACATACCGTCGTTCGCTCACTTCTCGATCATGTCCCTGCAGAGAGCCGTGACTGTCGCTCACGGGTGACAGGAGAACGCTAGTTTGTGTCCTCCCGTGACCCTTAGGAGAACTATGGGGAAAAACACTTACCCCATAGTTCTCCTTTAAAGCAAAACTTCAATTAAACCCCCTCAATTACTTCAATTAAACCCCTAAATGCATGGCTGGAACACACATGTGAGAGCTGTTCCACCCGGCAAAGCAATTGGTTTTTGTCTACCCTGTAATTACATTTACACAGCTCTGCCACACACCTGCCTGACATGCCAAGAACTTCGATTTATTTCTACTGCAGTTAAGTAACACTGACCAATTTTGTCCCTTCCCCAGCCTGTAAATTGGATAGTAACAGGAAATAAAAAGAATACTGATAAGCGCCTCTGTCACTTTGCTTTTTTACTCCTATCAACATGTCTCTTGTTGGCACACCAACACTGCAACACAGCTGATTGGCTCCTTGTGCTGCTTCTGTCTCTTAGTCTAAGCTCTGCTTCACAGGGGTTTGCAAGAAGTTGATACCAAGTGAGATTTATGTACTTACACTTATATCAAGACTATACATTTAAAGGCCAACTGAACCTCCACTTGAGATGAGCTAAATACTTCCCAGGTGCATCAAAAGTCTCCTTTCAGCATGAGCTCCTTGCCCTCTGTATGTCTCTACATATATCTCCAGTCAGCAGGGGGCACAAGCTTTGCTAATTGCAGAGCAATATGTCATACACAGCTGGGGATCTGTCAGACCCCTGCAGAGGGATTGCTGCTTCACAACTAGCACAAGGGTCCTTCTCTACAGCAAGCATACTTCCAAAGAAAACAAACTCTAAGACTTTAATCTTAGTTTGTTTTAATGCATCTGGAATGTTTAGCTGCTTTAAATTACATTTAATTGGGCTTTAATTATATAATAATGTATTGATTATCTTCCTAGCATTAAGCTTTAATCTACTTGGTCTTTATATTGTACTAGCAAAAGACAAAGCCGGGGATATTAGTGTTGTGTTTACATACAGATGTGTCAATAAGCAGTAGAAATAATGTGTATGAGTTTGTAGTAAAAAATATAAACTAAGTTGATGTACAGAAAAAAGTGTTGACCTGGAGACAGAAGGCTAATCAGAAACGCCCTGCCATTTGTGCTATTTGATCTTCCTAGTTTTAACATGGAGCATACAACTTAAGTGATAAGACCTCTGGACCTTTGTAGTGTAGCTTAAAGTGTATGTCCCAGCACACACATTTCACAATGTTTTATCGCTTTAAAATGCTGCAGCAAAAAAAGTACAGAAATGCTGTTGTGAGGACTTCCAATTTCTACTTTGGAGGGATATAATCATTCTACTTCCTACAGCTATCCCAGTAGACCTTCGAATGTCTTTATGCCTCTCATCTTAAGTAGTCTAGCAGCTAGCACAAAGTTTTAAGATGATAATTCTTTTTTTGTAAGGCCGTCACTTTTCGGGGTGGTTCATGCCATAAACTATGCGTTCCAGAGCAGTCAGCTGCTGGAACGCACTGTATCGCATCCCCGCCAGCTTCCTCGCCGGAGGGGACATGGCGGTGTATTCAATGTCACTGCAGCCCCACCCCCGGCCGCAGTGCGATCGCCGGCACCAGAATGCGTGGCACATCAGTGCCTGCGTTCTGGTCCAGTGCAATCTAAAAAAATGCAGGCACAGGTGACCGCTCTAAAACGCATTGTTTATGGTGTGAACTGGTCCTTAAAGGGGATAGATCTATCAAGCCCTACTGGCCAAGTTTGGATGTCTACCATGATCAAGAGGCTTCCCTATTAATGTATTGTTTCTATTTAGTGGTGTGTACCCAATTTGATTTACGGATCCCATCATGAAACCGTTGCTTATTCATAATGTAATGGAAGAATATTGTTTTTTTTTTTTAAATCTTGGCCTGTACTTGATTTGAAACCTTTATTGGAATTCAAATACTGTTCTACTTAAACTGCGCAGTGCTTTACAAAGTATGCATAATCATTTATATAACCATAAGAGTACCCAGAAGAAACCTACTAAGAACTGAATACAAAAAGGACTGATGGGGTGCCTGAAGGTATATGAACTCAGAATTCTAGTGGTGTGTCAAGTTCAAGGTGCTAGTCACCATTTTTATTTTGGTAATGTTGAAAGCATCTGTTGTAGAGTCTTTCCAAGTGTCCTTTAGGCTGTAGTGCCAACTATGACAGCTGTAGTGTCCAGTGGAATGTAAAATACAGGATTGTAATAGGCTTGCTTTTAACTTTTTAGATGCTATGCAGTGAGATGGCCCATCAGACTAAATATACATTTGATGTGTTTTTAGTTGGGCTTCGTCACTACCTTACCTTTTATAAAGCTAGAGGTGATTGTACTGAACTTGTATAAACAGATTGTAACTAGTTTGGCCCTGAGGTATATTGTAATAAATTACAGGGATGTGGAAAGTTTTAAATAAACTACTTGTAGGACTAAAGCGGGGGCCCAATCTTCTTGTCCCTCATGACAATCTACTTGTCCTGATATAAAAAATAATTTTAACCAAAACTGTATTTAACCTGAAGAAGTGCTTCCCATTGGTCAGAGCGGTCACCTGA